GTGAACCTCGGAGGTAACTTCATCACTGAGCTAAAAGGGTGTCTGGGGGCCATGCTCTCGGGGTTTCTCCAGTCTCCTTTAGGCCAGTAAATCTGGTCTTTTTGCTTATTTATTTTTAAATGAAAGTACATACTATAAAGGTAATACTAAATTGTTACCTACAGAGGCAGAAAATAGGGTGGAATGTGCAGCAAGAGAAGCCACCCTTCTCTGAATATACTTTTGACACATGATTTGATTTGATTTGATTTTGGAACCAAGCAAATGCTTAAGATAACTGTAAAATGAATTTAAGCAAATATAAAATAAAAAAAAATTCCTAAAAACAATCCAAACACATTTCAAGTTGTAGGCATATCCATACAGCCCCTCAGAGACAAGTGCAAAAGGACTGATTCATTGAGGCTCACAGTGGATTAAATCCAACTCATCAGGTCTAGGACTTCTACAGAGCTTTAGACTATAACACATAGAGTGTGTTTTTCTGGTGTAACAAATGTGCATATTCCTTTCATGAATCTGCATTGTTGTTGTTAGGTGCCTGTCTTAGTCATCTAATGCTGCAATAACAGAAATACCACAAGTGGATAGCTTTAACAAAGAGAAATTTATTTCTTCACAGTAAAGTAGGCTAAAAGTCCAAATTCAGGGTGTCAGCTCCAGGGGAAGACTTTCTCTCTGTCAGCCTTCTCATCAATGTTCCCCCGGACTAGGAGCTTCTCCACATAGGGACCCTGGGTCCAAAGGACACGCTCTGCTCCTGGCACTGCTTTCTTGGTGGTATGAGGTCCCCCAACTCTCTGCTTGCTTCCCTTTCATCTCTTGAGAGATAAGAGGTGGTGGAGGCCACACCCCAGGGAAACTCCCTTTGCATTGGATCAGGGATGTGACCTGGGTAACGGTGGCATTACAATCCCACCCTAATCCTCTTTAACGTAAAATTACAATCACAAAATAGAGGACAACCACACAACACTGGGAATCACGGCCCAGCCAAACTGATACACACATTTTTGGGGGGACACAATTGAATCCGTGACAGTGCCGTTGAGTCAGTTCCAACTCATAGCGACCCTATGTAAAACAAAACAAAATGCTGCCCAGTCCTGCGCCATCCTCATGATCGTTGTTGTGCTTGAGCCCATTATTGCAGCCACTGTGTCAATCCATCTCCTTCAGGGTCTTCCTCTTTTTCATTGACCCTCTAACTTTAATAAGCATGATGTCCTTCTCCTGGAACTGGTCCCTCCTGATAACATGTTCAAAGTATATATGATGAAGTCTCACCATCCTCGCTTCAAGGAGCATTCTGGCTGTACTTCTAAGACAGTTTTGTTTGTTCTTTTGGCAGTCCATGGCACATTCAACATTCTTCGCCAACACCATAATTCAAATGCATCAATTCTTCCTCGGTCTTCCTTATTCATTGCTCAGATTTCGCATGCATATGAGGTGATTGAAAACACCATGGCTTGGGACAGGCGCAAGTCCTAGTCATCTCTATTCTGCTTATCAGAAATAAGGATGATATAAACGTGTTGGTAATTAATGTTCAGGTTCTCCTTCTAATGTCAGTATATGTGAAAGTCACAATTTTTCTCCCAGTAATCCACCTATAATTCATTCTTCTTTCTTTCCCACACGTTGAAATCAATTTGCTAGAGAGATAATTCTATCTCCTTTAGGATATCTGATATCTTTTTTCTTTTCCAACTACCATCACCTCCCACCCCCAGAACTCACCATACACTTGTTAAAATTAGTGAAACTCACATATCTCTGACCATGTTCCTCCTATATTCTCTCAATACCCCAGTTCTAATAGCATTCTACTTTCACTATACAACCAAACCAAACCCATTGTCGTCGAGTTGATTCCAACTCATAGTGACCCTATAGGACAAAGTAGAATTGCCCCATAGGGTTTCCAAGGAGCTGCTGACCTTTGGGTTAGCAGCTGAGCTCTTAACTACTGTGCCACCAGGGCTCCAGTTACACTATTACCAAACAAACAAAAAACCAAACCCATTGTCACTGAGTTGATTCCAAATCATAGTGACCTTACAGAACAGAGCAGAACTGCCCCATAGGTTGTAGCTGCAGTATATTGTCTTATAATTCCAGGAACATGACAATCTATGATCTTTTAGTTTCACTATTTCTTATGCCTGGCATTCCATTCTCTTATACATTTACACTGAGTCCTACTTATTTCTCAAGGTGTAATCTCACATCCTCTATATTAATTAGTAAGCTAACTGTTGTAACAAATATATCCAAAAAAGCATAATGACTAAAAAACAATAGAAGTTTACATCTTCATCACATAACAAACACTGGGAGGGTAAACAAGTCAGTAGGGTGGCACTTCATTCAACATGCAGTTCTTCAGCTATCCAGGCTTTTCAGGCTCTGAAATCTCATTAGACAGCATCCAAGCTTGCCCAAGAGGCTGTCTCCATTCTAGCCAACTGGAAAGAGAAAAAAATGTCAAGTGTTGTGGCCTTTTTTTTTATGGGTCACACCTGGAAGTGGTGTACATATCTTCCACTTACATTCTATTGCCAAACTCAGAAGAAGGACCACACCAGACTACAAGGCAGATTGGGAAATGTAGTCTGGCTGTGTTCCAGGAAAGAAGAAAACATGGGACTTAGGTGAGCAGAGAGTAGTCTCCACCACATCCTCCATGAAACCTTCATTTTGCTCCTTCTAAAGCCCAGGATCTTTCTACAATATCATGTTCTGCTTCCAAGGATGATGAAGCAGTCTGGAATTCATATGCTACAATGAACTGTTTAAGAAATTAGATCATTGTACCCAGAGGAGAGAATGAAGTTGAGTTGACTTCAATGATTTTAAGTACCATGATGTAAAACAAAAAAGACATGTTCTAAGTTGCAAAGAAAGGCTGAATTATTCCTATTCTTCCTTTTGTTACAGATACAAAGAAGAAAATTTTGAAGCTCAGCCAAAGGACATATAACAGAGATTTCAGTCACTGAACCAAACTGTTCCATAGATAATGAACTTCTCTTTATTGACAGAAATGAAGCAAAAGTTTGATAGTCACTTTGTGTCAGTGCTGAAAAATGCATTATTCATGCAATGATGACAGGAGGAAGGTTGGACTACATGACATCTACATTCCTTATGTAGCAGAATAACATTTTGAGATAGTAGCTGAGGTTTCTTTCTTTTCTTCAGAGAACCCATTGCCCTTTCCCAACTCTCACCACCATTCAGGCAGCAGTAGCAACTTTCTCTATGCACTGCTCTCAGGAGGAGTGCCCTCCAGATAAATTAATTCAATTGAAATGCTGAATATATTCATTGGTACCATAGCAGAGACAATTCTCTTGAAAACTGTGGTTTCAATAGTAAGAAACTAGAAAAGTTTCTTGAAATAAAAGGCCCTTGAAAGAAAAAGTTATCTTTTTTTTTCCTTTAATTTTAATACTGTTCTTCTAGTTGCTTGTGCCAAATTCCTTGGAGGAATCCTTGATTCCTCTCTCTCTCATGCATGACATCCCAAGAGCTTATGCTATCAACCCTCAAAATAAATCAAAATACATTCCGGAATGTGATATTCTTACCATCTTCTCTGCTACCACCCTAGTCCATGCCACTATCACGTCTTGTCTGTATTACTGCCTCCTAACTGGTCTTGCTGTTTTACTTTTGCCCTCCTACAGTCTGGTCACAACATAAAGTAAACTTGATCATGTCAGTCCATGCTCAAATTCCTCCAATGGCCTCCCATGTCTTTTAGAGTAAAAGCCAAAGTTTTTACCATGATCTATGACTTAAAATCCTATTCTTCTCCTATTCATTCATTCCTCTCCACTCACATCAGTTTCCTAGCAGCTCCTTAAACACTGTAGGTATGCTCCTGCATCTGGGCTTGGAATCTGATATTCTTTTTGTTTAGAATATTCTTCCCCCTGATATCTAATGGCTTAATCTATCATTGCATTATTACCTTCTCTAGTCTTCCAAATCCATCTGTCTTAGTTTTCCTACTGCTGCTGTAATAGAAATGCCACAAGTTAATGGCTTTCCAGAACAGAAATCTATTTTCTAAATCCAAATTCATGGCACTGGCAGCCCTAGGGGAAGATTTTGTTGGTAGCACTGGCGTTCCTTGGTTGCCTCTGTCTTCCTCAGTATGTGTTTTCCACTGTGTCTAATGTGCTCTTTTTGTAACTCAGAAGTGATAAAGTTTAGTACATATCCTACACTGATATGGTCTCATTAATACAACAAAGAAAACCCTCTTCTCAGACAGGATTGCATCCACAGATATCCAAACCAAAACCTACTGTCTTTGAGTCGACTTCTACTCATAGCGACCCTATAGGACAGAGTAGAACTGCCCCATAAGGTTTCCAAAGAGGGCCTGGTGGATTCGAACTGCTGACATTTTTGGTTAGCAGCCGTAGCTCTTAACCACTGCACCACCAGGGCTCCATCCACAGGTAGAGGGGTTAGGATTTCAACACATATTTTGGGGGTACACAATTTAATCCATAACAAATCCTATATAAAATGGTAAACTTCCCTCTGAAACTCTCATCTCACTTTTTCTTTTTCCTTTTAATACTTACCACTACCTAACATATTTGTCTTATTTGTTAACTGCACATCCGAACTGCATGTAAGCTAGCAAGATGTATGCATCAAGAAATATTGTTGAATGAATGAATAAAGGGAAACTCTAAATTTTTGTTTAGTTATCATTATTCAATTTGGGCACAGTACCATGAATTTCTCCTCTCTCTCTCTCTTTCTCTCTTTATCTATCATCATCCATTTAGTTTATATCTGCCTCCTCCACTAGAATATAAAATCCATGAGGGCAGGGATATTGACTGTTTTGTTCACAGTTATGTTTCCTGTGCCTAGAACAATGCCTGACAAATAATACGCACTAAAAAACTATTGATGGATGAATAAATGAAAGAATGAATATGATCAGGTTGCATTTCATTTCAAAATCTTGTCTTATGGAGATTGTGTCAAATCCATTAACTGCTTGCTTTGTGGATTATTTAATTAAATGGTATTTGAAAGAATTTAACAATTATTTTGGGAGATTTTTAAATAGGCTCCTATGTATAATTTTAGATTAATGCTAAATTAAACATTTCAAGTTTCTTCAAATATGAAATAAGGTGAAGATCTAGGGAATCAGCTCAAATGATTTTTTTCTTAAACTTCTACTGTTGCCAAAATATCCAGGTCAATACGATTATTTTCATACAAAGGAAAGAATGATATTAAAATCTCAACTTCCAAAGTAGTTTTCTTTTAAGTTTCAGATACTCTTCACAGTCTTCATATATGTGATTTTCAAAATTATATTTTTATTATTAATTATCAAGCAACGTTTAATTGTAAAACAGGAGTCAGAAATTTGGAGAGGGGAGGATAATAGATGTTGTATTCATGGCAAAGACTAAAGAATCTTGAGAATGTATGCTTAACGGTAGTTGTTTATGTTGTTCAAAACCATGTTTCCTACTGTTTGCCATGCGACTATCAGTACTTGCAAATGGAGTATATTTCCCACCCTATTATTGAGCTAGGCCAAGTGAGACTTGCTTTGGCTAATCAAATGTTAGCAGATGTGACATGTGACACATTTGAGCAGAATTTTAAATATGATTTTGTGGTTCCTTTTGGCTCTTAGCCAGGAGAACAGTATGATCCAATTCAGGGTTACTCCTTCAGCCTAGATACTAAACACAGACAGAGTCAACCTGCAGCCAGTCCACAATTTACATGTCACATGAGTCAGAAGGAGCCCTGGTGGTACAGTGGTTAAGGGCTCGGCTGCTAACCAAAACGTCAGCAGTTCAAATCCTTGGAAACCCTATGGGACAGTTCTCTGTCCTATAAGGTCGCTATGAGTTGGAATCGACACAATGGCAACTGGTTTGGTTTTTTTGGTTTATGAGTCAGAAAGAAGCCCTGATAGTGCAGCGGTTAAGAACTTGACTGCTAACCAAAAGGTTGGTGGTCAGAATCCAACACGGCTCCATGGGAGAAAGATGTAGCAGTCTGCTTCCTTGAAGATTATCAGCCTGGGAAACCCTATTGGCTAGTTCTACTCTGTCCTATAGGGTTGCTATAAGTCAGAATCGACTCGATGGCAATGGGTTTCTATGAGTCAGAAATAAATCCTTGAATTTATAAGCCATTGCTTTTGGGATTGTTGTTTGTTATGCAGAATAACCCAGTAAAAGATAACTAATGTACTATGTTACCAAAAGACTGAGACCAACCTGAATGAGAATAGCAGCCTTCTCCCTCTGTCCTTGGGTACTCGTGATATGTTCTGTTTTTTCTGCCTTTAAAATAGTCTGACTCTTGATGTGGGAATTTGGCTGGGATGTCAGGAGTCCTGTTGCAGCAGTATGTAGCCTTGTAGAAAAATTAATCTGTTTGCGCACAATGTAACCACGCCAGTATGCCTGGATTATCATAGCTGCCATACTACTAAGAGAAGAAAAGAAAACATTTTTAGTATCCATAAATACAAAATGGTAGATAAGAGATTCTTATAAGCTGTATTCAAAAACATGAACCAAATAAAGAGTACTTAAAAATAAGACCACTTCTTTCGTTTAACTGTAGTCATAGAAGTACGAATAGTACGGAAACGGAAACCTTCATACCTGAAAGAGAGAAATGGCTAGTAGCTGGAAGGGGATATGGATACAATGGAGTTTTGTTTTTTTGTTTCAAGGCGGAAGATATCACAGAGTATTGAGGATGCAGATCCAATAGACTGGGGAAGGGGGATGATGATGATGCAGAAGAAAGAGGACAAATGTGGGAGCCAACCTTGAGTCAGCAAGAAAGGAAGGGATCTTCTGTATGGTGGAGAGATTAATCTTGGAGAGAAAGGAAGGAGGCTCCCTTCACTCTAAGAGGCCTCTAGTCCTTCTAGCTGCATTTTCCTCCCTGCCCTTAGACAAATATTTAAATCACTTTCTAAATTCTAACATTAAAAGCCCTCTAAATTCTAACTTTTTCCCAAGCCACACCTATTTGACAATCTCAGGCACTATACCTATCAATGGAGTCCCTGGGTGGCACAAGTGGTTAAAGCACTCGACTAATAACTGATAGACTGGCAATTCAAACTCACTCAGAGGCTCCTCGGAAGTAAGGCAATGTGCTTCCTAAAGTTCACAGCCTTGACAACCCTATGGAGCAGTTCTACTCCGTGCACATGGGGTAGCCATGAGTCAGAATCAACAGCAACTAACAAACTTTATCAATGCAGCGTGTTTTCTTTCCCACATCCCTCCAGGGTACCCAGCAACATTAGCAAAATCTGAATAACAATGCACACTGTGAGTTCTATTAATCATTTCGTTCTTCTTAATTGGATATATTTTTGCTTTTCCCACACAGATTATTGCAGGAGTCTAATAAAGGTTGCTATGAGTCAGAATCAACTCAACAGCAATGGGATTTTTTTATAATCAAGGTAGAAGCCCTTGTGGCATATGGTTAGGTGCTCAACTGCTAACCAAAAGGTTGGCAATTTGAATCCATCCAGCGGCTCCATGGGAGAAAGACCTGGCGATCTGCTCCTGTAAACATTACAGCCTAGAAAACCCTATGAACAAATTCTACTCTCTGTCACATGGAGTTGCTATTAGTCGGAATTGGCTTGATAGCACCTAACAACAACAATAATCAAGGTACAAAGTATAGTCCAGGTGCAATTTATTCTATCATAATTTCTGTTCAAGTTTCTGTTTGAGTTAAAAGATGTATACAGGATAAGTGATTATGGATTGGCATATCCCACTTCCTCAGTGCTTTCTTAAAAGTTTTCAATAATTTTGTAATTACCAAGCCCAATATTTTTTTTCCTTCATCCTATTTGAGTTTAAGGCAAAGTGAAATTAAGTTACCTAAATTCTTCCCAGATATGACCACCGATTTTTTTTTTTTACTCATAATATAGTAATATATTTGGGGATATTAGAAAAAAATGATGGAACAATTTTCTATTGTTATTTTGCTTCGTTACTGTTTTTACTATTGCTATCATCATCATCATCGTTGTTATCATCCTCATTTTACCTAAAGCCAGTAGAAGTCTTCAATCTATTTTCCTGTGAATAGAAGATTGAAGTTAAAGGCTAAAACTTCTGGTCTAAGATAAACTACTGGTACTCCTATTACTTGAGAAATATTTATGTTCCAACAAATCATTTCCTCCTCTTAGGGTAAACAGAACTTTGTAAATTTTTCTATGGATTTAATTCATATTCAACCATTTAATAATCATCCATTCATTCCCTCATTTACTGAACAAAAATGGGTTAGGGAATATTAAAGCACTATAATAGGGGCACTATGAGTTGGAACTGACTCAATGGCATTTTTTTTTTTTTTTAATAATAGGGGCTTTGGGTAGTAAAGGAAACAATCAGAAAACACATGTGCAATGTATAAATATTACAGAATGAAAGGTGTGTAAGAAAATACATCTACCTTGAAGACAGCATCGTATTTTTCTCTACAGATACATACAAGTTTCACTAACTGCAGTTGTGAATTTATTCTAAAACTGCCCAGTCATTGAATTCCTCATCCCTATACCTCCAAAATTTCCCAAGGAAAATAATAAGGAAAGAAAGGGAAAAAAAAAAAAAAAGACAAAAGCTAGATGTTGTTTTTCATTGGAGCGGAAGGCAGGCAAAGAGCTGACTTCACGGGTTCCTGAATTTAAGGTGCTCTCAATATCGACAAAAATAGCATTTATTATCACCTTTTTCTAGCAAAAATTCTAAAGGTGAAATGTCCTCAGCATAAGAAAACCACAGAAACTCCTATACAGCAGAAAGTAAATCTTCCTGAATCACTGAATGGCAGGGTTCAACAAGTGGATATAAATTTTATTTTGCCTTTATTTTTTAGGTCTTTGGTTTAACTAAATTTTCCATTTTTCATCCTTACTTATTATCACCATTTAGGTATCTTATTTATTATGGATTAAGAAGTTCCAAATGCTGTCTATATGAAATTTTGATATGCAATGTCTGGAGTGATTGGAACAAAGGCAATACATGAAATAAATTGATAAAATATAAATCAGCAATGTTAAAACCACTTTCAATAAAATGTTAAAAGATTTCACATTATAAAATACATGTTAGTTTCAGCATATCACACTATTCAACATAGCTCCCAGAAAAGAATCAGTTTACCACTGACAACTGACAACTTCTGGAAGAAAAAAGACTCGGAAAACAATATTAGCTACTGTAAGATTCTAAGCCTTGACTATTCCGTACCAGCCATCATAGCAGAAGCTGAATCTGGCCTTTTTTTTTTTTTTTCCTTTCATTAGCTTGACACTAAGACAAAAGTAAAAAAGAATGAGGAAAAAGTTGACAGGCTAATGTAAAAACCATATCTATTGGTTCAATAAACAATTAAAAGTGGCTATTAGCTTTCTGAGGAAACCCTGGTGGCATAGTGGTTAAGTGCTACAACTGCTAACCAAAAGGTTGGCAGTTCAAGTCCACCAGGTGCTCCTTAGAAACTCTATGGGGCAGTTCTACTCTGTCCTATAGGGTCGCTGTGAGTCAGAATCGACTTGACGGCAATGGGTTTGGTTTTTGGTATTATTAGCTTTCTGAAGCCCTGGTGGTGCAGTGGTTAAGAGCTTGGCTGCTAACCAAAACATGGGGAGCTTGAATCCACCAGCCGTTCCCTAGAAGCCCTATGGGGAAGTTCTACTCTGCTACAGGGTCACTATGAGTCGGAGTCGACTCCACAGCAACAGGTTTTTGGTTTTTTATTAGCTTTCTACACGTGTTTAATATGTTTAGGAGTTGGAAAGAGGCTTATTGTGCTATCTTACGGAGCTATTATGCCAAAGAAAATTATAGCACATACATTCACAAACTTACATAGATGATTGTTAAATATTTACTCAGTCTATAATCAAATAGAACATGTTAATGTATACTTTAATAATGAAATTACCTGATTATTCAGAAAGTTATTATTTTAGAATAATCTAGTGTTTTATTTTTTAATTCATTTTAATCATTTAGACATTAAAGTCAGAAACAAATAATTTCATATTTCCTCATTTTAAATTAAATAATACTAGCAATAAACAGAGGAGAAAGATGTGGCAGTCTGCTTCTGTAAAGATTTATAGCCTTGGAAATCCTATGGGACAATTCTACACTGTCTTATGGGGTCGCTATGAGTCAGAATCCACTCAAGGGCAGTGAGTTTGGGTTTAGTAATAAATCTGAAACTGTCAAAATTTAACAAATTTAATCTGTACTGTCATTAATAATTTGTGTACATTATAAAAAATATAAGTAAGGAAATATGAAGCATAATAAACCAACAACCAAACTCACTGCCTTCCACATGATTCTGACTCATAGCAACCCAGGGCAGAGTAGAACTGCCCCACAGGGTTTCCAAGGCTGTAAATCTTTAGGAAGCAGACAGCCACAACTTCCTCCTGCAGAGTGGCTGGTAGGTTCGAAATGCTGACCTTTCGGTTAGTAGCTGACTGCTTTAACCACTGCGCCACCAGGACTCCGTTATGAAACATTATAGTGGTTTAAATTTTTACCAAGTTATTATCTGGCACCGTTGACAAAGATCATCCATAAAAAATAGTAAACATACAACCATAAGAGAAAAATAACTTAGAAATCTTACATTTTTTCATTATGTTGAATATTTTGGCAATTCCTCACCAGAGAAGTTGTCATTACTGTTTCTGTGAACGGAATTCTTTTAGTGGCGATGCTGCTTGCCTGAGTGTCTTCTCTTTTCTGATCTACTGTTTTTTCTTGATTCCTTCCTTCCATACTGTTACATATGGAGGAATTAGTTAATGGGGAGTAACTAGAACCAGAGTTGATCCATTTCTTGGAAATGTCTGATGAGTCTGGTTTATGCTCATTTGCACAAGAGTTGAGGACCCCATTCTGCAGTAGGCTGTCAGTCTGTGTGGGGGACAAATGACTTTGCTGGGCTTCTGATTCATCTCTCTCCAAGATACTTACATCCAGATTTTCATGTGCATAGCGGTATTCATTACTAAGCGACATCAATTTCTTAAAATAATGGCAGAGATTTTCTGCACCATCCAAGGAGAATATATTCCTGAACAAATAAGTAAAGGCATTTAATAACAAGAATTATATCAGTAAATATTAAAACTTGTGTAAGTTTTGAAAATTTCCTGTGTGGCCTGAAATGAACATTAAACTTTCCTAAAACATTCGTTATAAACTTAGTTCTGGTTGTTTATTTAAAAATTGATCTCATTTCTAACAAAATTTGAAAATATTTGTTTAGGTAATTTAGATCTGTCAGTCCAGACAAAATGTCTGGAATTTTTAGGACCATTTTTATTCTAGGTATTTTTGGTACAAATGGATGTGAAAAAGCCATGCTTCTACTACCATAAACGTGAGAAATCATGGCTGCCTAAATTTGGAGAAGTTATTTATGAAATAAAGTTAAAAGTACTTTCTACATTGACTCTGGCCATGCAAAATATTTATACTGGACTTTTAAACAAAGAACCTATATCATGGGAAAGTTTTTATTCTCATTTTTCTCTGGAAAAAGAATCTATTGGAAAGAGAATTCAAATACTTTAAGACATAAATGGTTGTGATTCTCTTGAACGATTGTTGGATTTCTATCTTACGGAGGTTATGACATATAATTAATCAAACTTTTATGTCTGTCAAATTTTAGGCTGTCAAAAACAAATATAAAGAACTTGGCACTTGTATGAGCCTTGTTCATGGTTCCATTTTATTTATTATTTATCTTGCTTTTTTTCTTTTTAAAAATATTTACTTACTTTAAATTTATATTTTCTTCCTATATTTGATGTATAGCCACAAGCTGCCTTAAATTTTTTCTGAAACTATGCAGGATATAAGTAAATATGACAAAAATATAATCACAACAAAAAAGTGATAATTATCTCCTAAAATGTAGAGATAATTAAACATTTTCTATGTTAACAAAAGTAATTACTAGATGTCAGCATAGATTCCTCCAATCCATTTTTGGTATATTGTATTTCATCCATTTTTTTGGCTAATAATGCAGAAAAGATTCAATTCAATGTTGAGATATCAAATATGTTTATGGTTGGGTGTTGAATTAACCATGATTTATGCATTAAACATATAAAATACATTCTACTCTCCATTTTCAACTCTAAAATAAAACTTAAGTTGCAATGATGGTAAATAGTACAAAGGAATTGAAAAACCTAAATTTCACCATGAGGGATGTCAAGAGTTACGCTGACACACAAAATTGTACATTACCACACACACATACACAAGGAAGTATCAGCTTAGATTTGCACAAAAAATAAATGTAAAAACCTTTGTATTTGTTAAAAGCAAACATTCCTTATTCGTAAGAGTTGAAATTATTTTTAAAGTTGTGAGACTTATTTTAAATTTCAATAATGTATATTAAAAATATTTAAATATAAAAACCAACTCTTATATAAGCTTAGCATGTATGAAAATATAAATAGTATACAAAAACAAAAATTTAATCATCACATTTAGACACATTTGGAAGCACATATTAAAGTTCCAGTTATAATGGAGAGTCATCGCATGTGAAATAGGAAATCATTTTTCTTTGTGTTTTCTGGAGCTATGTAAATTAAAAAATGTGGTTAGAGGCAACTATAATTCATTCATAGGAATGTGTTCAGAATTCAGGATTGGCAGTGGGAAATCTTCCTTCCTTGATATTTGATTAGGACTCTCCACTAAGCTTCTGTCCTCTGAGTACACGCATGTGTTAACTATTCTTCTCCACTGTGCTCTTATAAATACTTTACTTATTATATACATTTTAAGACTTGCCTCGCTGCACTGTAACTATTTATTTGTCTGATTCCCTCTTATGTTAATCTTTGAAACCTTTGAAGATAGAGTCTAAAAACTAGCAAACAGTCTTGCCTACAATAATTGTTGAGTACATTTATGAGTGATTATTGAATGGTTGACTAAAAAAATGATTGCTTGCCTCTTGTCTTAAAGCTATATTCATGCTTTCATTTATTTTATCTAATAGTTTAATATTTAAATTAGATATTAAATTATATTCAAAATACATATTAATATCTTTAAAGAATAAAAAGATTCCCAGAATTTTTTAAAACATACGTCTAATACAAAAAAAGTATAATTATGTTAATTAGAATACTTTTAATCATATACATAAATTATATTATTTCTTTTAATTACAACAAATGTCAGAGTACAATCTTACCCTTTTCCAGAGATACAGTTTTCAATCAGTAAGTTGAATTCTAGAATCTGGGACTGACAAAGTGCCAGGAAGCATCCTGATTCTAGTTGATATTGTTCTTTAGTGTGTCTTTCTGGATAAGAGTGAAGCACTTCACCATTGAGGATTCTTAGAGCAGGCAATACTTTAAGTAGAGAATGCCTATCAAAAATAGGAAAAAATAAATTAAAAGCTTGGTAAGGAGAGTTTATATCTAAAATGACCATAAGCCTATCACTTAAAATCTTAGAGTATGTATCTCAGAAAATGTTATCGATTTTCTAGAGAAAAAGATACTGTCAAATTTATTTAAAATTTTACAGTACCATGTCATGTACAAAGTAAGTTTTAGAGTTCTTGACATACACTTATCCTTTTCTTCTAGAACACAAATAGGAGAGTTAAATCGTTAGGAACTCAGACTGGAATCAGGAGTAGATAAAAGATAAGACTAATAATACAAGAGACATTCTTTTGAAATTAATTAAAATAATCTTACTTAAAGCTACTGTTTATATCAGAAGGAGAGGTGAATTCTGACCATTTCTCTAAGTAAAATATAATCAGGGTCGGGCAAAAGCATGTGGGGTAGGTGATTGTCCTGATTCTCATGATTTGGAGAAACTAGAATTATGGTATTTCTCCCTGAATCTTGGTAAGAACCAGAATAAAATAAAACTTCTACGTGTGAGCAACAGTTTGTATCAATTTAAAAGGCTAATGCTTTGGAAAACCAGGTCAGACAGCCAGAGCTCTCCATTGACCCCAGCCATTTAGAAGTACTGGTTTATCCAAACTCCCTTTCACAATGAGTGAGCCTCTTGTCAGAAGGTTGCTGATGGCCAAAGGAGCAAGTGGACTTCCTGAATGAGTAAAACCCCTTAATTAAAAACTGATTGTTCCTAAACCCTAAATAAGGAATGTCAAGATAAGATTATTAAAATGCCAAGGTTTAAGAAGTATAACTCCAGGCAGAGTCCTAAAATTATTAATTCTACATAGACTCTATTGTCAGGACCAACTTATCCATTTATAGAAACACAGTTGTAAAATACAGTTTTTATATATTTCCTTTATGAAGGAAGGGGCCAAAAAGGCAAAAACGCCCAGAGCCTACCAAAATCATAATGTAGCCCTGTGTACAGTTAGGGTTTTGATAGGAGATAAAAGCTAATCACAAAAGAGGGATAAACATATCTCCGTCAATGAAAGCAAAAAAGAACACTAGAGTTTTTCATTTACTGGGGACACAGATGGTTAGCTTTCAAAAAACAAAACGAAACATCTTTTTTCCTTACAAATATTTAAATAAGGAAAGAGGGAAAGCAATTAGATTTGGTTCTTCAAGGTAATTATCTTTTTTTTTTTTTACAATGTTACAAAGCAGATGAAAAGCTTAATGATTTTCTAATAAAGAATTTGGGCTAGTTAAAAAGTTTAGGTCCATATATTTTGAACTTTTCTAGTAGGTTTGAAGCTACCAACATTTACCAAATCATAAACCACCGAGTTTACAACAAAGGTTTAAAATAAATTACATATATTATATTTCCGGTTGGATTCATTTTAAGGTATGTTTCAAAAGCAGAATATTATAGACAGTTAAGCTATTTATCATAGTTTTAATCACAGAGGTACAATATTAAATAGAATATGAAATATTTAACTCAGGCTCTTATCAAAGCAACTAAAGGTTACCGTCTGAATTTGAAGTTGGGAATAATCAAAATATAATGGAGATATTAATTATCTGTACAAAGATTCTACCCTACTAGATTATTTATTACATTACTAGTGAAGATTCACTGTATTCTAAATGTCCATCAAAGTACCCAGTCATGCTCTCTTCAGGATATAAATGCAAGGCCAACATAACTCATTTAGTTTACAAACATAAAATGTCAGATATAAAATAATAATGCTTTGGAGATGTGACAATAAAGGGTATCAAAAGTTAAAAATGTATCAGTGTCCACCCAGTTTAAAAGAGATGTTCTGATTCTATAATTAGTCCAGTTTCTTTAGATTAAATTTCCTAAATTACAGAAGAAGAAACATAAGGCTTCTTCAATAACTTGACAGAAATAGCTCTTGAGAATAACCAACAGTTTATTCTAAGTTTTGGTACCACTCAGATTTTTGCCTGATACCTTGGTGTCCAGAATGGACCTGACCAGTGGAAGGGAATGTGGTCTGCTGATGATAGACTCTAGTCTTTAAACTATGTATATCTTTCAAGGAAAATTAATAAAGCAGATTTTCTTATTATAAAATTGGTTATCTTAGAGTTAGATAAAGTTGATTCTTCCTCCTAGAGCATATTCACCTCTCGTTAAATAAATATTGGGAAGCTGTTGGACCTACAAAACTTTTCATCAGGATCAAGCACCCCTAGGGGTAGCGTGGATGCATTAACACTTATGAGGCACTCTTGAGTATCCATCTTTCAGTCCCATTTGGCTGAAAGAGGAGGAAGCAACAAAAGAGAACAATACTCATGCTGCTATCATGACAGCCATGGGCCTAACATATTCTTTATCTTACTCACTCTCAAAATCCCTGATGTGGGAATTCAAGGCTAGATTCCTACGTGTGCCTTCAATCCTGTAGGTCAGTGTTTATCCTTGAACTATGGCATCAGCAGTACCTGGAATGCTTTTTAAAACGCAGCCTTTGGTGCCACCAGAGACCTCTGCTGATGGGTTCTGGGAATTTCTTATGCACCCTAAAGAATAAGAAACACTGCTTTGGGAAGAAAGTAGACTGTTGCTTGTAATGCTAAAATTAGAGATGTTGGAGCATAAATTAGAACCTGAAAAAACAACTCTGAAATGCTAATCACTTGCAAATTGTCTTAAGCTTTCAGGAGAAAAAAAAAACTTAATTGCAAATTTGTAGCACATCCTATGTATCAAAGATATTAGGAGAATTTGCTAAAAGAAAGGAAGTTATGGGCCTGGGGCAATTACATGGAGCCCTGGTAGGGCAGTGGTTAAAGTACTTGGCTGCTAATGGAAAGGTCAGGAGTTTGAACCCACCAGCTGTTCCGTGGGAAAAAGATGTGGTAGTCTTGCTTCCATAAAGATTTACAGCCTTGGAAACCCTATGGCACAGTTCTATTCTGTCCCATAAGATTGCTATGTGTTGGAATCGACTCAACGGCAATGAGTTTTTTTTGGCAATTATATCACATTGACTTCTTCATTAATTAACACTGCCATTGAAATGGTACAAAAGTTTCTTAAAAGGAGAAACAAAAGAGAAAACAGTATTCCTGGGTCATTGAATTTAGAGAACATATATCAAATATATAGAGAAACTAGCCTTCTATCCAGAAATAATTGAAGAAAGAATGAGGAAATTTTTTAAACAAATAAACTAATATAATCCTACCCATTGTTGTTGAGTTGATTCCAACTCATAGCGACCCTATAGTGACATTATATAATCCTAGAAACAAAAAATATAAGAATTTGTTTTCTCAGATTAATGGAAAAAATGATGGCATTTTATCAACACTGTGTTTTGATATGGTTTATTGATACAGATAATATCAAATACAATATTTTGGCTGTTGGAAATACTTCTAGGGCATGATGGGTGAGCAGGGCTTGAATTTTTACATTTGGAATATTCTGATGTTACATTTATCACCTTATATCAAAAAAGTTCCCAGTTTATTTTAGTCAGAATGTTTTTCAACTTCTTTTGGATGTCAAAAATTTAGTTTGCTTAGATCTTTAAGACTGTGACAATATCTTGAAATTTGAGATTCATATATAATCATTATCCAGATTGGAGTTAATGTTTTATTTTAAACATTATCTTCTTTAAAATTTTTGTTAAGGAACATCTGTAAGACCTGTATAATAATACAGCAGTGCATGGATTGCCCTTAAGTTAAAAATGCAGACTTATAGAGTGTATGATGAATATACTAGAAGGTGCTGTAATAGGTTGATTAATATTAGAAATGAAGTATATTAATACTGTGAGATATCAACATTAGTTTTTCCAGCTGGGATACTCCTACACAAGAGCTGAATCAATATTTCATTTAACAAAAACTTCCTAGTGAATATTCTGTCACTTAAGAAGCTCCATTAATCATCAATGCAACGAAACTCATTCCCAAAGGAGATTTCAAACTGAGTCTGTGGATTAAGTTTTAAAAAGGGATTTTTTAGTCCATCACTTTAGTCTGTGTTATCACTGGCCAGACATGAAAGTAAGAAGCCAAATGGAAAATCTATAACTAATCCCTTTGTTGGCACCATGGGGTTATGTAAAGTTCGTTGGAACACACTGCTTGAAGTTTGAGTTGACGCTGTCTTTAACAAATCCATATTTTAGAGATTTCTAGATTTTAAACCCTTAGATGATAAATGAGACTCTTCTTAAAAATATGAAACCTGTATTGGGTCAACTTATCTAAGTGAAATTTGATAGGTAAAATTTTCAAGTTGGTATTATTCTAGATCACCAAAGTTCATTTAGACATTGAAATTATGATAGCCAAATAACTGTGCATATATAAGCACTACCTATTTTCTTTCATTACTGAATATTTCTGATTTTTTTTATTCTAAAGTATGTACACTTCCTAAATTCAGTAAAATGTGACTATTTATCTATACTTCCTAAATTCAGTAAAATGTGAATATTTATCTTTATGTATTTACAAGAGCTCTATGTCAAATATTTTACCAGAAGCATATTTTATTTAATAAAACAAGTGTTTATTCTCCATACAGCCAAAATAATAAAAAATAAATAAATTCAAAGATTGAGACATTAGGTTTGTATCACGTTGTTACAACCAGCACAATGTGGCAGCAGTTCAGACGGAAGATGGGGCCACACCAGGACAGCAATTGAATTCTTGTCCTACATGTCAAGACACCTCATAAATAAACCATGGCCTTTGAGGAGCTTGATCTGAATGATTAGCTCTACTACCTATTTTATTTGTCATCATAAGTTTGGCCTATATAGTTACTTGGGAAAATAAAGATACCTGTCTAAAAACAGCTGTCAGGTATTCTCATTATAAATAATATCACCTGGCAAGCTATGCTTTTTATACCTAATTACACATTTTGTATAGAAATTCTCATGCTAAGATCCGGCTCCTACAAACAAGGACCTAAAACTCGGGAATTAATACTTTAAACCCCAGTGTAGAAGAAGCACAGAGCCAGAACTTGAGCTAAGGCAAGTGGATAGGAACCGTGACTGCTTTGGTTTCAGTTGAAGGAGTGCTTCATCCCAGCTGGTGAGAGGTTTAGAAATACATTTAGGTGACCTTTTCACACACAAAAAATTCTTTAAATAGTTTAAATGTCTGACTCCTTTATGCTTTCACATGAACTAGTAGCAGATATTTCCTACAGTAATTTCTTCTAGAGGACCAGTTTCTCAGGAAATTTGAAGAATCTGACAAACACTATGGTTCCTTAAAGTCAAAGTATTACAGGTATAGAACTCCTGATATTGATAATTAACATGAATCTGCAATAATCTAATTGTCAGTTTATAGGGAATAGCATTTTTAATCATTAAGGTAAAATTAAATAAATTCAGTAGTAATTCAAGTTTTTTTAACTGTCTGATCAAACTGACTAGGCTTGCTGATTTGATTTGAACTCCGAGGATCCTTAGGTTGAAGTAGATTCTCCTTCCTGGATTTTCTTAAGTATTTGCTTTCCCTATAGCAAGCCTGTTGCCAAACTCTTTTTCTAAATTAAACCATCAGCCCTGTCCATAGTTGCCTTGCTGTGTCCTGACGTATCCATGACCTGACATGATACAAATATCAAATATACCATAAATCATGTTAAGCTATCACACAAATGTGCACTGCTGGGCATAAAAAGAGACAAGAATATAGGCCACAATCATCAGCTGTACTAGAAAATTCCAAACTGGATACATGCAAATTCTTTCAGTATTCTGGGAGGTAATTCACCTAGACTTGGATACATGAGCAATGATTTCAGCATGTGTGAGACAAAATCATCTAAGGCCAGGGGTAAAAAACAGTAGAAAGCAAAAGGCAGAAAAATCCCAGGAACCCTCTTAGGACTAAGAATAGGTCCTACCAGCCAGAGATGAAAGGGCACATAATACAAGAGGCACTGGGGAGAACATTTAGTTAGTTACCAACATCTTTGTGGGGCTAAATTAGCATAAGTCTAAAGGTTTCTTTAAGATATTCCTAACATAGCTAAAAAGCTTAAAAGCCTTGAAAGGATCCAATAATTCCAAGTAACTTAGCTGCTTCATGCCAGAAGACATGGAATTCAACACAATGAAGCGATCGACAATGTATAATTCAAAATGTCCAGAATATAGTCAAAACTGACCAGGCATGCAAAGAAGCAGGGAAATATGAACAAGAACCAGAAGAAAAGGATAATCAATAGAAATAGACATGTAAATTATGGAAATGTTAGACAAGGATGTTAAAACAGCTATTATAAATGCTCTCTATATATTCAAGCAGTTTTAGGAAAACAAATTAGAGATAAAAAATACAATATCTGAACTAAAAAAAAAAATACGCTGGATGAGATTAACAGCAGAGAAGGTAATTATGAAAAAGTAACAGAGAGCTTGAAGACATAGCTATAGAAACTATTCAAGTAAAGGACAAATTTTTTAAAAAAGGTAATAAAAGAATAGAACAGCAGCAACTACTGGGACTGTATCTCATGGTCTGATATTGATATAATTGGAGTCCTGGAAGGAGAAAATAGGTAGGAAAGAAGCAGAAAAAATATTTGTAAAAACAATGGCCAAAATTTTTTCAAACTTTATGAAAATTCTAAATTCACATATCCAAGAGATTCAATAAATCCTCAGCAGAGTAAACCTAAAGAAAACTAAACCCAAGGACATCATAATCAAATTGCTGAAAACTAGTGATTAAAAGAAAATGTTAAAAGTATCCAGATACAAAAGAACAAAGATAAGAATTAAAGCTACTTCTTGTCAGAAACTATGAAATTCATAAGACAGTGGAGAAACATTTTTAAAGTACTGAGACAGAGGACTGACTGCAAAGAAGCATGAGGAAACTTATTGGGGTAATAGAAATGCACAACATTTTCACTGTGGTGGTTTTTACACAACTTCATATTTTGTCAAAACTTGTCACATTATATACAATTGATGAAGTCTATAAAGGCTGATTATAAAAAAGCACGTTGGTCAATTTGGAAGAAATGATGTTTGCATAATATGACAGTTTAGGATTAGAAAACTTTTTTTTTCCTAAGAAGAAAATCCATTTAAAAATTATAAAATATTTTTCTTGGTTTATATCTAGGTACTACAGTATTCCAAAGAGAGGCATGAATTCACATATGTTTAGAATACATTCTTTTTAATAACACTACCTTTCTCTTTTAATAAAACAAAACAAAAACATTATAACTAAAAAGGAAATGATTTGTATTTTAGATAACTCACAAAAAGTAATTCCCAACCTATGCTTTGTTTTCTGTAAATGCAATGTCCAAATTAATATCATCCTAAACCTGTCATATAGTCCATGGTTTGGATAATAGTTCTGGTTTCAAATTTGCTTTAGTTTATACATGTCTAAGAAAATTATTTTAGACTGAAGTTTTTTTTCTGAACTATTTTTAAAATTCTTTAATAAAATACAACACTTAAATTTCCTAACTAATTAGTATATGTAGAGCAATTATCATCAAATCGTGTTTTCTGCTACTATAATAAAGGATGTACACAGGGTGCAATAATGCTTTTTACCTCCAGTTTATCTCTTGAAGAAGTGGGTTTCCAATGAGAGACAATTCACGGAGAGAAAAGCAGGCATCAAACCACTTTATGACACTTGTAAGGTCTAAAAAAAATAATTAAAATTTTTATGAAAGATATCACAAATAATTAACATTATAAATAATGACCATTTATTATTATTAGCTATTAAAGAAAATCAATATGAATACTTTATTTTTCTGCAGAATACTATGTTTTTTAAAGGAGACCATATTGAGTTAGGGAGGAGGCCTGGTGGCACAGTGGTTAAAGCACTCAGCTGCTAACCAAAAGGTTCGAACCCATCAGCCACTCCATGGAAGAAAGATGTGGCAGTCTGCTTCTGTAAAGATTTACATATTTGCAACCCTATGGTGCAATTCTACTCTGTCCTATAGGGTTGTTATGAGTTGGAATCAACTCGACAGCATTGGGTTTGGTTTTTGATGGGCATTGAGTTAAAAATATAGATTCCCTAGTCAGAATACCTGTTTCTACAATTTAGCAGCTGTGTGAACTTATGCAAATGATATAACTGCCTTAACATTCAGGTTCATACCTATTCTACAGGGTCAAGATAAGTTCAGGTAATGTATCAGGGCTTAGAATATTTCTTGGAAGATTGTAAGCACAAAATCGGAAGAAGTGTAATCTAAAGTAAAAAGAAAAGTAGTAAAATTGAACATATACCTAAGCAGAATTACATGGAACTATTATCTTTCCAAGGGGCCCTAGTGGCATAATGGCTAACCTTTTGCCTGCTAACTGAATGGTTGGTGGTTTGAAACCACCCAGGAGCTCCATGAAAGAAAGATCTAGCTAGCTACTCCTATAAAGATTAAATCAAACCCCAAATGAAACCTGTTGCTGTCGAGTTGATTTTGACTCATGGAGACCCTACAGGACAGAGTAGAACTGCCCCATAGGGTTTCCAAGGCCGTAAGTCTTTACGGAAGCAGACTGCTGCGTATTCCTCCTGTGGAGTAACTGGTGGGCTTGAACTGCTGACCTTTTGGATAGTGGCTGAGCACTTAACCACTGTGCTAAAAGATTACAGCATAGAAAACCCTATGGGGCAGTTCTACTCGATAACATTGGGTTGCTATGAGTCAAGATAAACTCAACAGCACTTAACAGCATTATCTTTTCAAAAGTAAAAAAGTAGTAGGTATATCTATGGTGCATGACAGAGTAATTTTTACCAGAATTGCCCTCACACAGAAAACCACCATAAAACTGGAGAATATATATGAAGCACCTGTTTCAAGCAATGAATACTATTAAGTGCAGGCCTTGCTCTGAGAGAAGGGAAGCACACAGGTAAACATCTCAATCAGTCTATGATCATGCTCACTTTTCATACTGAGAAGCTGTGTGTGAGGTGGAAGGGAAAAGTCTGTGTGGTAATTAAATATAGGCCCTTGGATAAGGGCTGGGCTATATATTGACATAGCAAAACTCTGCAAAACCTAGCAGACATCATCTGTTATAAGGCTAACAGATGATTTATGAAAAGGTCATACAGTTGTAAAAGACATTGGAGTTGAAGCCCAGTCAGAATGAGATCTAATTGAGCAGCTTGGTGATTCCAATAAATTCAGAAAGACTATGCATTAGGAGTGAAGACCATGCCTTGGGATGGGGGCATGCTCTAAGAATAGAAGACCAAAATGACCTGTCTTACTAGAGAATGAAACTAGACCTCACAAAAACAAAATTATCCACCAGTAATGTAACTGCCTGCCAGAATAAAACTCAACATTCTTTAAAGTAAGCTAACAATATCCTGAGTCACTAAACTGTATTATCTACAAAGTTAAACATACAGTTTAACATTACTGGACATTTTAAGAAGTAGGAGAATATGACCTATAGTTAAGAGAAAAACAGCTAATAGAAAAAGACCCAGAAGTAAACCAAATGTTGGAACCAGCAGACAAGGGATTTAAAGCAGCTTGCTAACCAAAAGGTCAGCAGTTTGAATCCACCAGCCACTCCTTGGAAACCCTGTGGAGCAGTTCTATTCTGTCCTATAGGGTCGCTATGAGTCAGAATCGACTCAATGGCAACAGGTTTCATTTTGGGGTTATTATAAATATATCGAAAGAGTGAAAGTACTGTTAGAATAAATGACAGGTAATATCAGCAGAGAAAAGGAAACGCTAGAAAGCATTAACAATAAATTATGTAGAAAAGGCCCAAATATTTAGAAATTAAATAACACACTGCTAAATAAGCCATGGGTAAAAGAAGAACTCAAAATACAATTTAGAAAATTATTTAAACTGAATGATAACAAAAGTAAAAATCACGAACTTAGTTGGATGTAAATAAAACAGTGCTTAAAGGGACATTCATGGTTTAAAATACTTACATGAAAACTTTCCACCAAAAGAATCTACAAAAGATGAACAAATTAAACTCAAAGTAAGTAAAAGCATAGAAATAATAAAAGGCAGAAAGCAATGAAATAGAAAATAGACAAGCAATAGAGAATATCAACAACACCAAAGATGGTTCTTAGAAATTATTATAAAACTGACAAATCCCTCGGCAACACTGATACACACAGAGAGAAAGAGAGAGAATTGAGAGAAAGAACACAAATTACCAATATAAAGACAGAAAGAGAGGACATCATGACAGTTCCTATAAACATTAAAATGATAAAGAAATGTTATAAGCAACCTACTTTGATAATTTAGATTACATGGAAAAATTCTGACTCCAACTCACAGTGATCGTATAGGAGGAGTAGAACTGCCTCATAGGGTTTTCAAGGCTGCAATCTTTACAGAAGCAGACTGCCACATCTTTCCCCCACAGAGCAGCTGATGGGTTCCAATCACCAGCCTTTTGGTTAGCAGGTGAGCACTTAACCACCATGCCACCAGAGATCCCTATATAAGTTAAACTTTCCCAAAAATAGAACTCCAGGCCACAATGGTTTCAAAGTTGAATTATCTCAGATGTTTAAAAAAAAATTAATATCAATTCCACATAAGCCCTTTCAGAAAATAGAGGGAGCACTTCCTGATAATTTTCTAAGGACAGCATAACCCTGATACAAAATCTAGAAAAGGACGTTACCAAAAAAAAAATTACAGACCAGAGTCCAGACACAGATCTGTACTTTAATGTTAATTGATTTTTGACAAAGACACCAAAGTAATTCACTGGTGAAAAAAGTCTGTTCAATAAATTTTACTGGAGCAACTAGCTATCCATATGAAAAATAAATAAATAAACTCAATCCCTACCTCGCACCATACATAAAAATTATTTTGAGATGGATAATAGACCTAAATGTAAAAACAAAAAGTATAAAGTTTCTAGAAGACAGCATAGGGAAACAGCATAGGAAAACATCTTCTCAATGTTATGGTGGAAAACATTTTAGAAAGGACACAGATGGTAATAACTATAAAAAATTTGATAAATTGAACTTCATCAAAATTTAAAACTTTTACTCATCTAAAGATGCTATTAATAAAGCAATGCCTATTATAGCAAAACAGAGGCTGGGCAAAAATATTTGTGAAACATACCTGACAAAGTGATTCATGCAGAATATACAAAGAACTACTACGAATCAATAAGAAAAAGGAAAATAACCAAATTTTTATAGTGGAGAATTTTTAAATATATACTACAAAAGGATACTACAAAAGGAGATACACAAATCACCAATAAGCATCTATAAAGATTCTAAGCATCACTATTTGTTAGGGAAATGCAAATTAAAACCACCATAAGATATCACCTGCTAGAATGAAGCAAGAAGAACTCTCAAACACTGTTGCTGGCAGCAAAAAATGTTACAACTATGTTTGAAAACAGTTTGTCAGTTTCTTATGAATTTAAACTTAAACACCTACCCTTTCATCCAGCAATTATCTTCTTACATACTCATTCAAGAAAAAAAATATTAAAAAAAAATACGCCTTACAAAAAGTTTAATACAAAATTTTCCATAGGAACTTTATATTCATAGTAGCCCCAAATATAAACTGAAATATCCATGAACAGGAGAGTGGTAAACAAATTGTGGTATACTTACACAATGGATTACTCTTCTAAAGGACCTATTAATGTAAATAACATGCAGGAATCTCACATGAATGCTGAGCAAAGAAAGCTATAGGCAAAAGAGAACATACTGCTAGATATCATTAATATAAAAATGTAATCTATGATGACAAATTTCAAAATTGTAGTTTGACTGTATGAGGAGATTGACAGGGAACGGGACAGGGGAATTTTTGGGGAGTGATAAAAATATTATTAGTGAACAAAATCAATTCATTATTATTTAATTTAATAAAGAAACTTTTAATAGGTGTCTATAGCTGTTAGGAACCCATGTCAACACCCAGGGAAGCAGCAGTCAAGAAATCAAAAGACGCACTGCATTGGGCAAATCTGCGGCAAAAGACCTCTTTAAAGTGTTGAAAGGCAAAGATGTCACCTTGAAGACTAAGGTGCGCTTGACCCAAGCCATGGTATTTTCAATTGCATCATATGCATGTGAAAGCCAGACAATGAATAAGGAAGACCGAAGAAGAACTGACTCCTTTGAATTATCGTGTTGGCAAAGAATATTGAATATACCACGGACCGCCAAAAGAATGAACAAATCTATCTTGAAAGAAGTACAACCAGAATGCTCCTTAGAAGCAAGGATGGCGAGACTACATCTTACATACTTTGGACATGTTGTCAGGAGGGATCAGTCCCTGGAGAAGGACATCATGCTTGGTAAAGTACAGGGTCAGTGAAAAAGAGGAAGACCCTCAATGAGATGGACTGACACAGTGGCTGCAACAATGGGCTCAAGCATAACAACGACTACGAGCATGGCACAGGACCGGGCAGTGTTTTGTTCTGGGGTGCATAGGGTCACTATGAGTCGGAACCAACTCGATGGCACATAACAACATAGCTGTTAGGAGTCAATAAGTTTGACAAGTTTGTTTACTCATCTTGATTGGGCTATTTATTTCATACATAAAAGGTATATAGATTTTATATAAAAATATAATTGCCCAGGCCTACCAGAAAAATATGGAAATAAATGATTTTAAAAGCGGAAAAAACTTTTGAAGTATTTCAGCATGCCTATTATACAGATTTATTATTTGTAAATACCATTTACACATCTATGGATTTAAATAACTTTTACCATATTTGGAACAAAAATTCAAAATCCTATTATTTTTTAAAAGATGTATGACTCTAACCTTACCAGAAAGACAATTGTTGCTGACATCCAGTTTTTCCAAAGAAATAAAATGAAAAAGTGGTATAATTTCTGTTAAACTGAAAACAAAAACATAAAATTCATAAACAATTGACATGAAATGTCTTGAATATTATCAATGTACCTATACAATAATACTATCATTTATTAACAGTACTTACTGAAAATGCAGTAATTATAGGAATCTGCAATATTTATTCTGTAGATTTCTATTCATTTTAAAGAGTAATTATCACAGACTAGTTTCAATAATAAATATCATAAGTATGTATTTATTTAAATAAGTGTTTTTACTATTGTTTTCTTTTTTGAAAAGCCAAATTTACAGAGAAACTATATTATTTCTATATTTTCTTCCTAGCTCAACTACGTAGCCTAATCCTTTAAGGTAAAATACACACACACACACATCACCACTTATTTTAATTTTTCAACAGTATAACTGATTAAAGACATTAGTTTTTTCTTAATTGAAAAAAATGTTCTATTTACTATATTAAAAGCATTTTAAGTACTGTAAGTATTCAAAGTCTCACTGGAGGCATTTTTAAATTTGAAATATGTTCAATATATAAACAATGAATACAAAGACCCAATAACAGAAAATGTTTTACACTGATGACTTAAATTTTGCACAAATATACTAATATTTCAATTTTGTATCCTTATTCTACTATACGCATATTCCAATAATAATAATAATGAACTTGCCTCCACTTTTAAGAGTTTCTATCATTTCCTGTTATAAATTATCATTAATAACCCATATTCAAGCAAAAAACATAAGTGATATTCAAAATATTTTGATTTCCAACTTCTGTGGCAAGTCTATTAAAAATTAAAGCTAAGCCAGGTGATAGGAATCTTTAAATAAGACAAAAATTCCTTTGCATAAAATATAGTCCCACCACAATTGCAAGTCTTCTGAACTAATATCCTCTGTACATGTTAGAAACTCATCTGTTCAAAATAAAGGCTAAAGGAGTATCTTTGGTATAAAAAGAGGTAAGCATTTATCTCCACTTCTTTTGCTTTCCTACTTTTTATATCGTCCCCTCAGTTCTCATGGCAGAATTCTTTTTTATTTCTACCAACCCCCTGCCATTAAAAAAAAAAAAAAAAAAAACTACTATTATTCTAAAGTCAGAAGCCTACAGAGTAACATTATGACTGGAGACCTCATGGGGTCTGGCACAAAACTAACCCTTGTAACAGCCTTGACTTCTGCCTTGTATTGTCCTGTTCTGCATTAACTGGCAGACAGAAGATACTACCGAAAAAAAAAAAAAAGACTAAATAATAAGGCTGGAAGAAGATCCCTCTAAATGTAACTAATCCTAAGTACAACATTACTATCATATGAAACCTATACAATGCTATTTCTTAAAAACAGTTTCCAGGAAAAAAAAAAAATCCAAGATAATATGAGAAAAAACAATAAAATACTGGTCATTCCATTCGCAGTTCTTCGTAATTTGTATATATACTACTTAATAGTAAAATTTGCCTAAATACCCCCTAGATAATCAAAAAGAAGAAAAAAGAATGGAAGACAACAACAACAAAAAAAAAAAAAAAACCAAACTTTAAAACTTTGTCAATATGCAATTAAGGGATTTAAGTCCTTATTTTATGACACTTCTTACTTAAGCATGTTCTGGATTATTACAGGTAATAAAGTCAAATTCTTCAAGTGAAAATATAACTCTAATAAACACGTTTGGTGATGAGAAAATTCTTATTTCTGTTGTATCTTTAATATCTTTCTAATATCAAATGTTTGCCATTTTACTAAAAGAATTTTGAAAGAATAGATATCTGTATATTATAGCCTTCAAAATACAGTTTCTCTCTTTTTCAGACTATCTCATGTTTTTAAACCAATAGATTAAATGGTGATATATAGGTTATACAGAGACATTAAACGGAAATAACCAATGAAGTTTTAGAATTAAAAATCATGAGTAATTCTCTTTGCAAAAGTCAATCCAAGTAAAAAAAATATCTGATTTGGCCAAGTATTTCTATAAAACTAAAATTTTATCTTTTCAGATATCCATGTTTTTAGAATCACATTCTTTTTCTTTTTTTGAAACTTTAATCAAACAACTCGTTATTCATTTGCCTCATTAGAATGCTGGAAACCTAATAGTAGAATCTAAAAAAAAAAAAAAAAACTCTATAACTTTTCCTTTTACTGACATTCTGTGTATATTTTCTCCAAGAAAATTCAAACCAGAAAGACAAAGGACATTAGTGAAAACCTAATACCATTTGACCTTGTCACATTAGCCCTGGGCATAAAAAAGATATAAATTTCAAAGACGACAAAAAGCCAAAGATTTGTACAATGAGCAGCCAATGGTAATAGTTTCCACTTTCTGCTCCTATTTAGTGTCTCACTGGAAGTGGAAAGCCTTATGAAGCTGCAAAGTCTTCAAGTCAGAACTCCGCTAAGTCAAACTTAAAAGTCACATGTTCTAACAAAAATTAAAGCAGGAGTCAGGATGAAACAAGTATTTCAAACAATATGTACTAAATATCATTCCTTTTATGAATTTTATTTGTTGGAACAAAAGTATATGAACAGAATCTCTTCCTTGTGATGAAAATACTATTAAAAGAAAATTAAAAAATTTAAAAAAAAATTAAAAGAAAAATATATGCAATTGAAAAGCCATACCAAACACTGCAAATTAAAATATTACATTTAAAGAATTCTTGTCAGGTTTATAACACTGTATATAGTTACACATATTTTCTTTTCGGATCATCATTAAAATCCCATACAGTCTATGAGGTAGGTATTATTATCACTTTACATGAGAGAAAATTGAGGCTCAGATAGTAAGGACAGAGTTGTTCAAGATCAACTAACCAATAAATTGTGGACCTAAAACTCAAACCCAAATCTACTGACTTTGAGTTTTATCAAAGTCCAAACATGATATGGTTCTGAAAAAGCCAATGCACAAGTAAAAGCTTCATGTAAGATGAATACATTCTACTGCTAATGGCATTAAAATTAAAGATTATTTTTACATCATGACTTCAAGAAATTATGTAACTACTCTGCCTGTCCATTTCTATCACATTTCAATGATTCTCACAAGCCTTCTCCATTCATCCTCTCAGAAATGGGAGATTACATGTTTCAAAGAGCTTTGAGAAACCCACAAAGAATATATTCATATATAAGTGAAAGTATTATTAAAAAATTCAAAATCGTATATATTACAGAATAATTTCACTTTTTTGTGTAGAAAAGCTTGAAAGATAAAGTTCCTATATTGCTAAGAGTTCTTTGAGGATAAGGATGTATATCATTCATTTTTGTATTCCCTAAAATACTGCAGTACCGCCTCGATATTAACTGTTATAAGGCAAAGCAAATAAAATTATAAACAAGGATCATTTAGATTTAGTATCCCAATTACTGCTATCAATTATAAAATAATTTTTTATGCTCTAATTTATATAATTCCTCGTTATATTGGACTAATATGAGCAACAAGTCATATCAGATTAATAGAGCAACTAGTGTATCAGTTAATATAAATTTTAATTTTAAGAAAGATAATGTCTTTTATAGATTATTTAAATTGCCCAAAGGAATTAGAAGCTTTTTTTAATATTCTTGATTTAAATATTTTCTAATCTCTCTAATAAATGTGCTTCACTAAATTTCATTAAGTTTAATTAATATGGATGAAGAGCTCCTTCTATGTAATACAAACTATGTAAGTCAATAACTAAGTGATTTATTGTAGATGTCCAAAACATAGCTGAGGATTTTATTTTGAACTGTATTTCTGGCCCGGGAAATATTCTGAAAAGAGCCAGAGGATTTCTGGATGGCCCAAATTACTTAAAAAGTGTTACCTGATGAAGCTGGCTCAGGGAATAAATGTACTTTTAAACATACACATAAACTTCCATATTTTAGATATGATTAAAACAATTTAAGGGAGTTTTTTAACACAGATTCAATTTTCTATTTTTCAAAGTTTAATAGGTGGAATTTAAATTATTTGAGACATGCATGCTCAAAAGATGGGCACAACTGTGGTAGAGATTGAGAGTTAATTTTACATATTTTTAGAATACATATATATTAAAGTTTGGTGTCCTTGCTCCTTATTTTGCTAGAATTGTGTAACTCAAACAAGCAATATCTTACTAAAGGTGGTTCCTTTCCCCTACTCCATGTGCCTTTGATGAACAAATTAATCGTATTAGGCTGAATAGGTCTCAATGAAATATTAAGCAGAGGAAGACACATATATTGCCCTCCGGTTTTGGTTTTAGACAGTTATTCTCTGCAACAATCCAGATGTTTGGTGGTCTCAAATGGATCTTCTGTGGCAGGTACCCATTTCAATTTAACATTAAGGTATTTTTTTTAAGTATTACTTTAGATCTTTAGGGAAATCAAATTTAAATCAATCTTAACAGTTACAAAAAGACATGCAAGTTGAGAGCAGCTTAAAACTCACTCTTCCAGGACTTAATAAGTACCATTTGAGAGAATGAGACATCCTTCTGAATTAAATTAACTACCTCCTGTATTTTCCAAGGACTATATTCTTTACAAATATAAACAAACCTACCCTAAGAGCTCTCTACAAGTGCATCTTTGAGAAAAAACAAAATGAGGAGAATCAATTGACAATTAACACTGTACTAATATTTTAGGGCACATCAATACACTACTTTAAGCTTTAAAATTCTATAAAGTTATTTTTCTAACTGATGTACTAATTTATTGTGATGCACTTTTACTGGAAAAACCCAACAGATTTTCTGGTTGTTTATGAGCATGACAAACTATACAAGTTTATTTTATGCTACCATTCACTGCATTTATTGTTTAAGCAAAGTATATTTTTACCTGTTTTGAGAGACAGTAAGATTTTGTAGTAAAGGCAGCCAGTATGAAGAAAATGCTTCCACAGTTGAAATGCTGTTATCATCCAAGTGCAATTCTCTTAGTAGAACATGATTCTCCAGTGATGGAAGCTATATTTAAATTTGCTTCATTAGTTATATTAAACAAAATATTTCATCACTTAACCAAATTAAAAAGTATAAAACCTAACAAAAAAAAAATAGATATTTTACAGTAAGCTTCACTGTAATTCAAAGTATAATATAATGAGACTGTTTGTATGAGTAAAATTTCTAATAATTAACTTCATAATGTTTTAATTAGCTTTTTTATAAAAGATACTTCATGGCTAATTGTAATTAGAATTTCTTAATAGATAAATTTGGTCCCACTAGTGTACTGAAATATAATCAAAATGCCATGATTTATTATACTTTATCATTATGAAAATGCTAATGCTAGAGTAGATTCATTAAGAAAACATTGTAACAGTGTTCAGCGTTTTTTAAATAGAGAAAAGTATGCAATATAGTAAATTCTAAGTCAAATGCAGCTGATGAACCAAAAAAAAAAAAACAAAGAACAAACCCCAGAAATTATTCAGCATTGCTTTTAAAATGTGTGGTTAATATTTTATCAAAAGAAAAATATTAATCACAGAAATCAATCCAAAGCAATTACCTCACTTAGATAATTTCCCTGTAACTTCAAAACTTGGAGCAATCCACAATTTGCAATGCCCTGAACTTCAGTTAGATGATTATGTGAGCAATCCAGGTATATAATGGTAGGAGTATCAGAAAGTCCTTTTGTACTAATTAACTGATTATGGTCCAAAATTAGTTGCTGAAGATTCTTCAAAGATTCTAAACCACCTGGAGGAAAAATTTTCAAGATCACTTGTATTATACATTCTCCCAGGCTCCAGAAGGAAGTTTCAGTTTTTCTCTCCTAAATTGTTACATTTGTATATTTCCCAATATTTACAATTACAAATGGAGACTTAGCCCAAATTCCTGATAAAATTTATCTCATAAAATGTGTTATTATTTAAACTTGCATCTGATGGATATATTTTTGAATGATACAATAATATATCAGTTGTAAAGTCAACAATATAGTAAAAGGCATATATTGAGCACTGAATGTTTCGGTTTGCAAAGGACAACAGAACCCAGAAAGAAAAGATTGTTTAAAAAAAAAAAATTCAATTCAGTTTCAGGGCCTTTGAATTTTAAATCCTTGCTTAAGGTTGCATGTGTAACATTGGACTGCCATTTTACTACCATTGAAATATCTAAGATTCCCAAAAGAAACATGCACAACCATATCAGAACCAATGAAATATTAACATATACTTCAGGTATTTCAAGATGGTCATGAGTGGCTGCCTTTTTGTCCATATAAACTTTAAAATCAATATGATGCTTTATAAAGAATATTAGTGGAAGTCTAGAAACTACAGCTCAGTGGTCATAAAAAAGAAACTGAGAAAGTTGTTTAAATAAGCCGTCAGAAGTTAGCATTGGAAATAGATGCTGAAGAAATCTATAAAGGTTTATGGACAATATTAAAAATCTAGATTGGATATAAGGTTATATGTTCTCTACAGGTACCATACTGTTGTATGAATATGCAAATTCTACAAACTGGAAATAAAGTTTGAGGTCTAGAGTAAGCACTGGTAAGTAGAATGTCTTCAGTGAGGACTGCACACATGGGGGTCATTGAAGTTAAATCCTGAAGAATCTAGCTTTATTCTGATTTTCTTCTCAAACTCCCAGAAAATATTTTTCAATTGAATGTTCAAATAGATGAGTTATTTTACCAAAAAGTTATTTGATAATAAATTTATGTAGATCATCCTTAAAAGAAATAAAATTATGTTAAATTAATATCTAGAATTTATTAATAATTTCATCCTGGAACAATTTAAAGCATTTAACCCAAGATTTGTTGTTTTGATTACATATTGTGCTTTACAAAAAGAAAAGCAGAAAGTTGGTTAGTATTATAGATGAAGAAATAAAGGAAAGAATCAAGTAACATTACCAAGATTTCACAGGAAAATTTAATTCTGGAACATATTTTAAAAATCCAGGTAATATTATAGTTAGGGTTATGAGTGTACTGTAAAAATATTTCATAGAGATACATTTTAAGAAAATTATATTTTGAAAATGCTGGATCTCTAATAATTCAAGTCAAATAGAGTAAGTTAATGTTATCGATGATTATTTCTCATAAAAAGAATGGTTTATGTTAAAAAGTATTCTTTTCTTATAATGAGAAATTATGTGATATCAAAGAGAAGCAGAAAAATGCTTAGAAGACCTGTAGAAGAGAAACTGAAATTCAAATTCAGCCAGTAATCTTCCATTTTTAAGCTTTTCTCTAGGATAAATGTATTGGTATTTTCCTGTAATGTAAAATAGCCATTATGGCAGAGAACACTGTCAACTGGTATTATTAGGGCATAAATTTTCTGCCTTATCAAATTTTGGGCTAAGTAAAAATAAAACAGATTAATTACATATTGTCAATTTTAACAAATTAGAAATGCTATATTACATAATAACAATAAATACATATTAGCTACAATGTAATTTAAAGTCTGCAGAAATAGAAAGTACTTCAGAATTTAGTAAACTTTATGACCATATCTGATGAATATCAATTTACTCACTTAAGGAGATAAAGGGCATTCCAGATAGAAGAAAATACTTATCAATATAAATTAGTAGTTGTCTAAAAATAAAATATCTTTTATTAAATATTGAAACATTTTAAGCCACCTTTCATAGGTTTAATATTTTTATAAGTCATGCATATTTCTCTTAAGCTTTACAGCACTAATCTGACATACAGTTTTCTATTAACTTATTTAGAAATGGTGGGGGCGGGGGTAGAATTCATTTGTGCAACTTTTCAAGAATCACTCAAGGAGAGAACCAAAAATGAAACAGTAGGTTACACACTGAGGAAAGGTAAACAATTTGGTAGAGGAGGCTGAAATAGAACAGCAGATAAAGCAGGAGAATAACTGGGAGAGAATTACGCTACAAAAGGAAAAGGTAAACAGAATTCTGAGATGAAGTAGTCAGTATGAATAAAATTAAAATAATATATAAACTTTAAAGTATCCAAGGTATTTTTATGTACATTAAATTACATATGGTCAAAAGTGTCAGGCAGAGTTGGCAAAGGAGTAAGGCAGTGCTTTAGAAATGATGAATCAGTTGAAGATTTTCACAAAAAAGTCAGTGGAGTAATCAGGATAGAAGCCACAGTGCAGTGAAAGTGGAGACAATGACTGCTAACTACTTATCAGATTACTGATAATGAAGAAAAGAGCCTCCAAAATCCTTAAAATGGTATACAAGACTCTATGTTATCTACTTCTCATTACCTCCCTGAACTCATTCTCTACTACTGACCCCTTTCCTGGGTCCATTGTGACATGATGACCTCCTGGCTGTTGCTAGAACATGGTAGACATACTTCCACCTGAGGGTTGTATTTGTTAGAAACAACTATCAGTGTGAGACATATTAGGCTAGGAAGAATCAAATAAAGCTAATCAGCTAATTTCATATTTTAAAAGCAGATGATTTTCACTCAATCTACAGAGAAGGTAGGATTAGTCTATTCAATAATCTGTTAGAGTGGATCATCTCATGGACTAACCATGCTTTGAAGCCTCAGAGTATAGAGGGATGTTTGACCTAACATTTCTACTTCTAGGAATCCATTACACAGTAATACCCACCCAACTATAAAGTAGTATATAGAGGTGTTCCTTGCTGTATTATTTGAAATACAAAGAAATGGAAATAAGTTAAATGCCTATCGATAAAGGAATAAATTATGAAGTATCCATAAAATAAATATAGCAGTCAAGTGCAAAACGATATGTGCAACCTAAGTACCATTTAGCTACTAACCCGTTAAAACCTACTGCCATCGAGTTGATTCCGACCCATAGCGATCCTATAGGACTGAGTAGAACTGCCCCATAGAGTTTCCAAGGAGCGCCTGGTGGATTTGAACTGCTGACCTTTTGGTTAGCAGCCATAGCTCTTAATCACTACGCCACCAGGGTTTCCATTTAGCTACTAGGTATACTTAAATCTAAATCTACATATCTATGTTTGTACTGCGTAGAACAAGGTCTGGAAAGATTCATAAGCACTGTTAACACTGGTTACCCCTGTAAAGTAAGAGAGAGAAGTGGTAAGCAGACAGATATATTTTCACTGTTAACATTGTATACTCTATTGTTCGAGTTTTTAAATGAGAATGTACTCCTTTTGTAATATATAATGTAATATATATATATATATATATATACACATATATGTAGGGAAAAAAATACAGACCAAATACTGAAGAGAACTGTTATTCCAATCCTGATGAACAAGAAAAAAGTGGGTAAAGAACTGAAGTATTGAAAAGTAAGGAAAAACTTGATGCTGTTATCTATCATTTCATCATTTTACCAGTTATTGTTGAGTTCGATTCTGACTCCTGTTTTGTTTTTGTTTTTTAGGTGCTGTTGGGTAGCTTTTAACTCATAGTGACCCTGTGTACAACAGAAGGAAACATTGCCTGGTCCTGTGCCATCCTCATAATCTTTGCTATGTTTGAGCCCATTGTTGTAGCCACAGTGTCAATCCATCTTGTTGAGAGTCTTCCTCTTTTTTGCTGACCCTCTACTTTAACAAGTATGATGTCTTTCTCCAAGGACTGTTCTGTCCTGTTAACATGCCCAAAGTAGGTGAGACGAAGTCTCGCTATCCTCACTTCCCAGGAGCATTCTGGCTATACTTCTTCCAAGACAGACTTGTTCATTCTTCTGGCAGTCCATAGTATATTCAATATTCCTCGTGAACACCATAATTCAAAGGCATTGATTCTTCTTTGGTTTTCCTTCTTCACTGTCCAGCTTTCGCATGCATATGAGGCGACTGAAAATACCATGGCTTGGCTTAGGGGCACCTTAGTCCTCAAAGTGACCTCTTTGCTTATAAACACTTTAAAGAGTCTTTTGCAGCAGATTTGCCCAATCCAATACGTCCTTTGATTTCTTAACTGCTGCTTCCATGAGCGTTGACTGTGGACGGAAGTAAAATGAAATCCTTGACAACGTCAATCTTTTCTCTGTTTATCATGATGTTGTTTGTTGGACCAGTTGTGAGAATTTTTTGTTTCTTTATTTTGAGGTATAATCCATACTGAAGGCTGTAGTCTTTGATTTCATCAGTTAGTGCTTCAAGACCTCTTCACTTTCAGCAAGCAAGGTTGTGTTATCTGCATAATTGAAGGTTGTTAATGAGTTTTCCTCCAATCCTGATGCTGGGTTCTTCTTCATATAGTCCAGATTCTCAAATTATTTGCTCAGCATACAGACTGAATAACTATGTGGAAAGGATACAACCCGGACACACACCTTTTCTGATTTTAAACCATGTAGTATCCCCTCATTTTGTTCAAATGACTGCCTCTTGGTCTATGCACCGGTTCCTCATGAGCACAATTAAGTGTGCTGCAATTCTCATTCTTCGCAATGTTATCCATTATTTGTTATGATCCACACAGTCAAATGCCTTTGCACAGTCAATAAAACACAGGTAAACGTCTTTCCGATATTCTCAGTTTTCAGCCAAGATACATCTGACATCAGCAATGATATCCCTTGGTCCACATGTTCTTCCGAATCTGGCTTGAATTTCTGGCAGTTCCTGTTGATGTATCGCTGCAACTGTTTTTGAATTACCTTCAGCAAAATTTTACTGGCATGTGATACTAATGTTATTGTTTGATAACTTCCACATTCTTTGGATCATCTTTCTTTGGAATGGGCACAAACATGGCT